ATAGATGTTTTACCTCAACAGAAAGGTCTTCTTTGCTGCTATTCTGTGGATCCTTAACACCGTTACGCCGAAGGTAATCCTCACTTGCGGCCTTGGAAGAAGATCGCCCCGGAATCCAAAGTTGGTGCCTCTAAGAAAGATCAACGAATAAGGCAGTTTGTATCACCTTCTCCAATTGACGGGAGTGGTATGAGGCATTATCCATTACTATGGACACAGAACGACACCTCGCGACTTGCAGCATGCAGGGGATAGATTCCCGCACCAATGCTCGAAAACTGGGTTCATGTCGCGGTGGTAGTCGTCATCAATTAGACCGCCGCTGAAGATCTCTCTGGTGCAAGTCGGTATGACTCTGTCCTCTGTCAGGGGACCGATCACAATTGCCCTTCGTCCCTTGTTCTTAGCGACGGTCTTACCGCAGGAGAACTCCTGCATCAAGGAAGCAAAAGCAAACCGCGGGACTGCAGTGTCGTTCCACCCCCTTTTCCTCGTCATGCAATCGAACACCTATCGTTTTGTCGATAAAGACGATGCAATGGTTGTCGCACTTCGCTCTTCTGTTCACAACCTCAGGCCGCTCGAAGATGTAACGTTGACCGTTATCAAGCCTGTATGTGAACCCGAGGCCACTCGACAAGTAGTAAAATGCCGTTTCTGACAGGTCGAGTGACGGGTACCTCTCCTTCAGTCCATAACGAAGCTCCACTACCGTTACGTTCGCCTCCTCCCTGAATCGTTTCTTTGCATGGCGAAAGTTTCTCGTTATCGTAAGCACATTCCTAGATAATATGTGCTTGCGAAATCAAATCACTCACAAAACAAGGGTTACTTAAGCTGAATCGGAAAAGAGCATAATCAGCTATTGAAAAAAATCAAAAAGCGACCAGCGCAGACATCGCGGCGGGTAATTTGTGCTAGCATAGTATATTGATTAGAAGGTCAAACCAGCAAAGGATGACCCACCGCCTTCTTCAACACGATCGAAAACAAGTAAAAATTGCATGGAAGAAAAGAACTCACCTAATGCCATATTCCCTAGGATGATTTTTCCTGAAATTTCAACATGCTGGAAACGTGACATGCAAATCATAACTGTTTATGGTGACCATAGTTCCTGCCACTTTTTCAGCCACACCACTGCAAGGTTTCCTTGCTTATATAGAAGAAGAAGTAGCAGTGGGCAGCTACAGAAGCTGCTAGTGGTAACGGCCACATGAGCAGCAAGCAAAACAAACTATGAAATCGCATGAAACGAACGAATGCACGGTAGTAACACACATGCATGCTCTCTGCATGCATATATAATGTCATACATGAAACGTAATACTTCAGTAAAGAAACAAAAACTAGAAAAACAGATGAAAATAGAAAATGAAGGAAGAATTAGAACCTACCGTTGCAGCAAC